CGGACTGATGGACAGATTAGATGGGAAGAAGGAGCAAAAGAAAGAAGCCTGTGGTTCTTAGGTTTTATGTTTGGTTGCCTGAGCAGACACCAAGGATGAGCAGTTTTGTAGGGGACTACAATTATTCTTGTTTTAATGGCATCTTCCTCCTCCTCCTCCTCCCACCCCTCCTCCTCCTCCTCCTCCTCCTTCTCCTCCTTCTTACTTTAAGTTCTGGGATACATGTGCTGAACATGCAGGTTTGTTACATAGGTATACCTGTGCCATGATGGTTTGCCGCACCTATCAACCCATCATCTAGGTTTTAAGCCCCGCATGCATTAGGTATTTGTCGTAATGCTCTCCCTTCCCTTTCCCCCAACCCCCAACAGGGCCCAGTTTGTGACGTTCCCCTCCCTCCTGTGTCTGTGTGTTCTCATTGTTCAACTCCCACTTGTGAGTGAGAACATGCGGTGTATGATTTTCTGTTCCTGTGTTAGTTTGCTGAGGATGATGGTTTCTAGTTTCATCCATATCCCTGCAAAGGACATGAACTCATTCTTTTTTTTTTTTTTTTTTTTTTTTTGAAACAGAGTCTCGCTCTGTCACCCAGGCTGGAGTGCAGTGGCCAGATCTCAGCTCACTGCAAGCTCCGCCTCCTGGGTTCACGCCATTCTCCTGCCTCAGCCACCCGAGTAGCTGGGACCACAGGCGCCCGCCACCTCGCCCGGCTAGTTTTTTGTATTTTTTTCAGAGATGGGGTTTCACCGTGTTAGCCAGGATGGTCTCAATCTCCTGTCCTCGTGATCCGCCCGTCTTGGCCTCCCAAAGTGCTGGGATTACAGGCTTGAGCCACTGCACCCGGCCATGACATGAACTCGTTCTTTTTTATGGCTGCGTAGTATTCCATGATGTATATGTGCCACATTAAGCTCATCATCACTGGTCATTAGAGAAATTGGGACTATAATTATTTAAGTTAAGGACATGTGTTGAAGTGCAGTGGAGGACACAGGTAGAGATCTCCAGGAGGCTTTAAAACCTAAGTAGATTTTGGAGCTAGAGATGTAGTGTCACAATCATCTCTTTTGGGGAAAGTGAGCATTGAGAGAATGAGAGATAAGATCACCCATTCAGACTGAGATAAAGATACTAAAGAAGGAAGCCTAGAGGGTCATCTCCATCTGAACAGTTCAATATCTGTGTCCATTGATCAATATAATACTGTCCTATGTAATTTTTATTTTTCTAATTTGATGTTTAGTGTGTATGTGTGTGTGTGTATATATATATGCACACCTATATATACACACATACATATATATATAACTAAGAAATCTAAGTAGATTCCTGTAACAGGACTAATTCATGATAAAACTAATAGGTAGCATTTATATAGCACTCCACAGTTTACAAAGCCCTTTCATATGACATAGGGGCTGAGAATTGTTTGAGGTCTTCATAAAAAAAATTTGAGGTATTCATAAAAAAAGTTGCACCTTTCAGCCTCCCTTCTGAAACATGAGATGCCAATATTTCATGTTAATTTTGTCCATTTCTTGCTAGCTTTACCATATGGAATTGTTTAATCCTCACAGCATTCCAGAGAAGTAGGCCCTGATCCCCACTTTACAAATGAGAAAATCAGGGAGACTGATTGATATGCCTGCAATTGGCACTACTGTAGGTATAGTATATTAAATGATGAATTATGACAGACTTTCGTAACATATACATAACACTTATCTCAGCATTTAGCAGCTAAAAACAAACCTGTCAGCTCACATGGTTTCTGTGGGGGACTCTGGAATAGCCAACTGGATGGTTCTGGTTTTGGCTTTCTCAAGATTACAGTCAAGATGTTGGCCAGAGCTGCTGTCAGCTGAAGGCTTGACTAGGGCTGGTAAATGGATTGCTCATATGCCTGGCAAGTTGATGGGGGCTGCTGGCAGGCCTTTGTTCCTCATTGGCTGTTGACAGGAGGCCTCAGTTCCATGTCACGTGGACCTCTCCATAGGGCTGCTTGAGTGTCCTCACAACATATTATCTGGCTTCCCCCAGAGGGAGTGATCCAAAAGAAAGGAAGTTTGAAGCCATAGATTTTTGTCTTTGTTTTTCGAGATGGGGTCCTGCTTTGCTGTTCAGGTAGAGTGCTGTGGTGCAGTCATAGTTCCTGGTAACCTCAAACTCCTTGGCTCAAATGATCCTCCTGCCTCGGCCTCCCAACTAATTAGGGAGGCGACAGATGTGTGCCACCAGGCCTGGCTAATCTTTTAAAAACATTTTAGAGATGGTGGTCTCATTATGTTGCACTGGCTGGTCTCAAACTGCTGGTCTCAAGTGATCCTCCTGCCTCAGCCTACCAAAGCACAGAGATTACAAGCGTGAGCCACCACACCCAAACTGGAAGCTACAATTTTCTTAAGGATCAACCTCAAAATCACACTCTATTATTCCCGCAAAATGCTTGATTACACAGTCAGTCTAAATCAGTGGGATTACACGGGACATGAATATCGAAAGAAGAGAAGATGGGAATCATTGGGGACACCTTGATCACTACACCATATTATTTATCTCAAATACATACACTTCCAACTTTCAGAATTAGAAACTCATTCTAATATAGGTTAAAGATACTTCAAAAAGATGTTTTTCTTTACGTAATTTACAATTCAAGCCTTGAATACCATTTTTTAAAATTTATGAAAATGTCTGAGGCCTCTAGTATTCATAAGTGAATAATCAAACAGTAAGCAGTGGCTTGCCCAGTGGAAAACTTAAATGAGGAGGTGCCCTGTCACACTTGGTAATGAATGAGGCCTTTAAATGGATTATTCGTGTTATTTATCTGTTGGAATCATTGAAATAAATTGCATCAAACAAGTCCTCTGGAAATCACCCAAATAAATATAACGTGCCATTAATCAAAGTGCCAGTTAAATGAATTGTACACTTTTCGCAGCGACACGAGGAAAGATTGTACATTTTCCACCTTATATTTTAGGACTTTAGAAGACTTGAAGGGCTGCTAGAAAAGCTTGGATACAGTTTACATGTAGCTTCAACGTGTGGCCTAACTTCTTAGTAACTAGCTCCAGCTAAAGAATGTTGATAGATGACAAAAAAGTGGCAGCTGGAAGGATGGCCCTCACTTATCCAAAACCAAGGCCCTAACCTCCACCGTGGTGTTCATCGCCCAGGTGCACAGTTTCTTACCTAAGTCTAGAAGCATGCTTACGTTTTCCATAGCTTAGCAAAAACCTTGAGTTGACTTCTGTTCAAGCTATTGTCCCATTTCACTTATTTGACTCATTTGGAGGCTGACAAATTTGATAAACAAGAAGCCATGTCCTCAGCTCCACTTCCTCATCACACACTTACTTCCCAGACCCTGGCAGTCTCTCTTGTGTTCTCTGCCCACTCTCTGCTAAAACTACTCTCACAGTCTAGCAAAAATCATGTGAACTCCCCAAGTAGTAGCAACATGCTATTGAAAACCCCCATACTTCTAAAACTTGATTTGTGGTACAGGAGCTTGCACTTTGTTGAGCTCCCTGGATCTCGGCTGCTTCCGACTTCCCATGGGCCTGTATCACAAAACAAAAGCAGCCGTCATGTCATCTTAGTTATTGTCCTCCGCCCACTCCTCTGTGCTGTCTGCCTTTATGCCCCATTCACTCCTTCAGCTTCAGCCATCTTCTTACGATGAACACTTCTTGCATCTGTAATTTCAACTCAGATTTTTTGAATTTATTGAGACTTGCTTTGTGACTGAGTATGTGGTCAATCTTAGAGAATGTTCTGTGCACAGATGAGAAGAATGTGTATTCTGTGATTGCTGGATGGAATATTCAGTAGATGTCTGTTAGGTCCATTTGGTCAAAAGTTCATTTAAGTCCACAGTTGCTTTGTTAGTTTTCTGCCTCCTTAATTTGTCTGATGCTGTCAGTGCCTGTTGGAGTCCCCCCACCATTACTGTGTGGCTGTATCTCTTTTCTTAGATCTAGTAGTATTTGTTTTACAAGCCTGGATGCTCCAATGTCAGAGGCATATATATTAGGACATTTAAATTTTCTGACCTCTTACAAGTTCCTTGTCCCCATAGTACTTCAAAGTCAGTCATTCTAACACTGAACTTGTTATTCCCAGCCCCATCGCATTCTATAATACCATTTCCCCAACTTGCATCTCTGTGCCCAAAGTCACCTAGCTAACCATTCATCTTGACTTCTCCACCTTCCTGGCAACTCACATTTTATAAATCGCTGGGCCCTATTGTTTTGGCCTCCCCACTGTCTCTCGCATCCACTACTTCCCTCCCCTCCATTCCCACTGCCATAACTCAGTCCCCACATTCATTACCTTGTGCCTAACCTCTAGGATAGTCTTCCTCCTATGCACTGCTGTAAGTGTGCAAGGTCTTCTTGCACAAATACTCTGTCCATTTAGCCCATACTGTTTTCTTTGCCAAGAGTCAGTCATTTCTCTATTTCAAATTTATCAAATCCCATTTGTATCTCAAGGTCAAAATCAAATACCACTTTCTCCATAACTTCATGAGCACCCCCTCCTTTCTTAAAATAACTGCTTCATCAACTCATATCTTTAAACATTCTACATCGTTTGAGGCACGTCTCACTTCATGTTATATTGTCTGTCCTTTCTGTTTTTTCAAGTGGATTGTAAGAAGGCATAGTCTTATTTAGCTGTTTTTTCCATAGTACTTTCTATGGGGATTTGCCCTTTGTAGGTTTATTGTTGAGTAAATGACCCTTACTAACAAGATTTTTAAAATCCAATAGCACATTTAATGCATAGTTATTTATTTTTTACTTTCATAAATTGGTTTGCAAGCAGTTCTCATGCCTGTCAGCTGAGCCCAGTCATCTCCAGGAGCACATTGGACATGGCTGAAGTAGTGGTTGTGTTTAGAAATTGCTATAAACTGGGCTTTCATCTTATTTTCATCATATTCTCATGATTCCATGCTGTAACTTATCTGCCACTTCTCATTTCAGGGAGAGTGGAGAAGAGAAGAGAACAAAAAGTAACTTCAGGTAAGATTTTTTTCTAATGGGCTCCAGCTTTATTTCCTGATTTTATTTCCACCTTTAAAATGTTTTTAATTTATTATTCAAAAATACACACTAAAATTCATCATTTATGGTTTTTGAACTGGTCGATATTAATTAAAATAAATTCACACATTTAGCTTTTTCACTTTCACATCAGTTATTCCCTTTTCATTCAATCATTACATTCAAAAGAAAATGAGATGTAATGTCGTTTAATTTTTTCATGATTATCTATTTAAAGGTAAGTCTTGCAACCAACAGTATTAAAATACAGACGTTGTGATGTGATAGTTGACAGTTGACAACCAGTTTAGTTTCCCAAGTGACTGTGAATCTCAATTTTATTTCCTAAAACCGTTTATGTAGTGGATGTTTTTCAGGACAATATTAACTGAGAAGCGTCTTTATGTTTTGGAGGAATTTCAAGAATGCCTTCACTTCTAAATTCATATGGATGCAGAAGTGAACCACGCTTTGGCAGAGTGCCATTGCACATAGTAGGGGTCAATATTTGCTAACTAATACAAACTTAAGTTTTTACATTTTCATATTTCCATTACTCGCCTTTTAGCTTAAAGTTGTGAGGTAAGACAGATTTTCATTTATCAAGTCAATCTTTGCATAGGAGCAGTGTTGCAGCTCACAGTGCCCAGAAATTGCCAACAACCATAGAGAATGCTAATTTGGCATGTGTACCTATGCCCGCCATCCTTCCCAAGTTTCCACCAACCATTACTCCTGTGATAAGTGAGCGCTACCAATCACTCCCATCCACTAGCTTCTTTTAGCTTCATTTCTTGTCTGGTAATAAGATATTGTGTGTGTTTAATAAGATATTGTGTGTGTTTCCAAAAAGTCAGTATAGTCAGTAGAAGACAAAGATCCATCTTAATCTAAAAGTGTATAAAGAGCATATGTCTCTTTTCTCCTTTCTAACCTTAGCGTTCATTTCAGATAAGTGGGCAACTTACTACCTGCATGAATTTCCTGTTAAATATTATTGTTTGCGTTCTCTAGGAATCTTTTAAGGCCTGATCATGAACACACACACACATACACACACACACACACACACACACACATAATTATGAAAGCAAGAAAGTTTCTGATTCCCTCACAGGTATGATTACCTTCATTATTGCTCCTTAGGGGAGAAATTATTTGTACAGCTTCTAAAATTCTATTTCCATAATGCTGTAAGTCCTACCTTCTTAGTTAAAGAAAATACACAGTTTGGAAGAAAGCTAAGTTGGCCAAAGTGTTAAGTCTGATGCCTCATTAGGTTCCCTCCATAGTCATGGCTTCTAAAATTCTGTGTGATCAAGGTGACGCCAAGGTTAGAGACAGAGGCAGGACGAGGACTTAGGCATCTTCACTCCTTGTCCTTTCCTGCACCCCCACCATGCTAACCTTTCTTTTCAAAACAAAGTGCTAGTCATTTTAATGCTTTGTTCAGTGACTTGCTTAATAAAACACTTCTCAACAAATGGAAAATCTTTAAGGCAGCAGCATCTTTGATAGGGAACACAGGTCACTAGAGTTATGAGAAAACCCCCTTTACTAGTGGGATTTTTACAAATTTGCCCTATCTGATTTATAGCTTGTCAATTGCCTGATTTCTATGAGAGGGTGAGGTTAAGGAGAACTAATGGATAGAGCCCATATTCTAGGGGAATGTTAGGGGACTCCTAATCATTTCAAAGGACAACAAATCATGCCCTCAGGAAATCTAAATTTGTAACAATAGTCTGAGTTTTTAAGATTGGAACATACTGTTTGCCCCTATAGTCATAAATACTACAATCAGTCTGTGGTGCTGGCCTGAATGTAGACTTCTTTAGATAAAGTACGTGGCTAAGATACCGAAAACATCATGGACACTCCTATTTCTGACTTCCTGCTTGGATTTTTTCACATCTTTGTTCATTTTCCTCAGATTCTATGTCCTGCCTCCTCAGTTACTATATACCCCGCACCCTCTTGTTTACAGCTGAGTTTATCTCCCAGCTAAGAAAGACGAATATTAGGTTCTAGACCCTTTCAATCTACCCTATCCTATTGCACTAAATGTATAATAATTGAGACAAAAAAAATTAGAAAATATTTTAGAATATTCCTATTAAAACCAGGACCTACCAAGACCCTCATTTTTTGGTTGGTTAAGGTTAATTCTTTGTTTAAAGACTCTTGGACTAAGATGAAAGTTACACAGAAGCAACTTTTTGTTCAGGGTAAGAAATAACTTCACAACAAGGAAACGTCTCTGGCACTGGAAAGAATGAGATTATGTTTGTAAACATGTGCAGGGGTTGGGCACCTCCTAAAAGAATGATGACAAGAGATTGATAAAGATTTTGGTTAAATCATTGCTAAAGTTTTTTCTAATGTGTCTATGATTCTATTGCCATTTTCACTTAATTGAAATGGCTCTACTATGTATAATGGTCGTCAACAAAACTTAAGTAGCTTTCATTTCATTACATAACTGAGTGAATCATGTTCCAAAGATTACACTAATTTAGTTTGGACTGAGTTTCTCAGTAAAGCATCTAGCTGATGGTGTTAAGACTGTGGAATTAAACTGTCCTGTAGTCTATTTAGTGACTTCTATTTAGAGTCCGTCTACAGTGATTGCAATCCTGGCTATTGATTCATGTGTAATGCTACTTTTCATACACCAGAAATAACTCACAAGAGAATATGTATAACTTGGTATCATTCATTGTCATTTTTGAAAACCCATTCAAATTATATGCCCCTTGATACTAAACTTGGAAGTCTATGTCATATTCATACAATATGGTTAGAAACATCAAAACTAAATTTGGCGATTTGGCTTGGTAAAGAATATTATAAAATATATGGTGGTCTAATGATAAATGGACAAATATGAGGAGGCAAATACCTGATGTCATCAATGTTCTATTTTCCTTTGATTCTCTTTACCAGGAAAATTTTTTAAAAGATCAGCTATTTCATAGATTTTACATAAAAACTTCATTGTTTGAAGTACCTTTGTCTCATCAGAAGAAAGACTTCTTTGTGGGCCATGGAATTCTCAATATTAGAAAGCAACACAGCATAAAATTCAAAGAGGAATTCTTGTGAAGAAAAGTGGATTATCAATTATTGTTAGGATGCTTACTAACATAAACTATGGGAATACCATCTGTTAAATCTATATTCCAACATTTCCAAGAAGAAGAACCCTTACAAATTCAGTTAAGTATAATGGAAAGAATAGCCCTAGTGGACCAGAGAATGGAGAAATCAATTGTGTACTTTTCGCTTATGACATTAGAGCAATCCCTAAAGTTAGAAATGGTTTGTTCATTTGCATAATTTGCAAAAAGCTACCCATAGAGAAGAACAATGTGGTTGGTTTTTTTATTTTTTATTTTTTTTTTTTTTGTCAACTCAAAAGGCGAAATTCATTATTGGAAATTTAGCAAATGTAGAACATCTGCTTTGCAAGCTCAGTCCCTTGCTGCTTACTTTTTGAGTGTGTTCCTTCTTGGAAATGTTCTACAACAACAATGGCAACTCCATTTTAAAACTTTTTAACACACATTTAACATGCAGTCATTCAGGAAAAAAAAAATAAGTAGATACTGAATAAAATCTTCCATCTGTGCGTGAATAACATGTTCACTTTATTATATGTCACATTTATTGAATACAAATAATATTTAGCACATTTAGCATGATTTTTCTCTAGGCTATTTCTATTTTTATAGTGTTTTTGCCATAGTTCCTATACACTATCCAAAAAAAAAAAAAAAACTTAAAAATCAAGAGTGAAAAGGACCTATTTTGTGATAGTTTTAATTATTGGTGACCAACATTAAACATATGAAGTTAGCAGGTAGAAGACATTGTGACAAATACATTTAAGCAAACTATTATCCTTGAAAACCCATCATTTTGGACATCGGTATTTTGCAATATCTGCACATTTCATTCTCACTTTGAGAATCATTATTCCAGTTAGAATCAAGCTTAAAATGCTTACCATTCTAACTTGTTCATAGCTTATAAAAGCTATTTTCTTGACAGCACCTCAGGCACCACAAAAGGGGCAAAGAAGGAATCTGAGGTATTTATAAGTTGATACTTTCAATTTGATAAATATTTTAATGGTCCAGGACTTGTGCTTAACATCAGAGATGCAAAGTGAATAAGATGTGGGATAAATATCCTTAATTCACTCACTTTCAGTTCAGGGAGAAAAGCAAGTACACATGATTACAACATGGTGCCTTTTAAAGAATGATGTACAAGATATTATGAGGAATTCAGGGAGGGCTTCCTGGAAGAGGTGAGACTTGAGTCAATCCTTGAAGAAAGAATTAGAGTAGTTTACCAGGTTAAAAAAAGGGAAAAGAGCTTGCTGTCCAAAGGAGTGTGTTCATGCAAACTAAACAAATCTGAAACACCTAATAGTTAATGAAAGAGACATTGCCAGAGAGATGAAGGTAGCTGGAAAAGGCATGGCCTATTGAGGGAAAGCTTAGTGATTTAATAAGACTGGAGCAGAGTCACAAACAAGAAGTGGGAGATGTGGCCAAAATGTAGGCACATGCCAGAATCAACAAGGACCATCTATGCCATTCCATGGAGTTTGGGCTTTATGCAGTAAGTGCTGTAAGCTAATGAAGTACAAGGAATTACAGAATCCATTTGCCTTTTCTAAAAATCTCTCCAGAAAAGAGATTTCTAAAAATCTCAGTGGAAGTATGGATTGGAAGAGAAATTGGCGGGAGGCAAGGAAATCAGGGAGGATATCATTTTAATTACCCAAGAATAACAGGATGAAGGTCTGAGGTGTCTTTACTAAGACAGTGACATTAGAGAGGAAATGGAATCCAGATACATTTACAAGATCAAATTGACCTGGTTGGATATGGAAAGTATGGGAGGACAACTCCTAGGTTTCCCGCCTTAGAGAAGAGATGTATACTGCAACCTGTGTAGGGAATACA